CCCCTGCCTTGTTCCCTTCCTTATCTCTATCTTTTCCATCTCTTTTCCATTTACCAGTACTTTTGCCTCCTGTTTATCGTAGATCGCCTCAATTGCATTTTGGAAATAAAATCCTAAGTCCATTTCTCTCATTATTATTTTGCAGAACTTCCAATTTACATTATCAAACGCTTTCTCCGCGTCCAAGGCTAAGAGCATTACTTTATTTTGATGTTTATTTTCGTAATATTCAATTAAATCCACTATCATCCTCACATTTTCATTTTGATATCTATTAGACAAGAAGCCGGCCTGATCTTCTTTTATATATTTATCCAATATTTGTTTTAATCTTTCCGCCATTATTAAACTAAAGATTTTATAATCTACGTTCAATAAAGAGATAGGCCTGTAATTTCTAACTTGTTCCTTTTCCGAATTCTCTTTATGTATCAGGCAAATATTTGCTTGTTTCCATGTCTCTGGGGTTTCTTTATAAATTCTTATCCTATTCATCATTTCCTTTAGATATGGTACCAGCTCTTGTTGAAAAGTCTTATAGTATATTGCTGACATCCCGTCCGGGCCCGGGGCTTTATTTGGTTTTAATTTATTTATTGCTTCTTTGATTTCTTTCTCTGATATTTCTTTATTCAGGTGTTCTCTTTGTTCTTCCGAAATTCTTTGAATCTTATGGTTGGCTAAATATTGATAAATCTCCTCTTCTTCTATGTGCTCCTCTTGATATAAATTCTTGTAAAATTCATAGAATTGTTTCCGAATCTCTTCTTCCTTCGTTATGATGTTTTCTTTGTCCTTCAATTTTGTGATGTATGTTGCCTCTCTTCTTTTCCTTATTTTATTAGCCAACCATCTTCCAGGTTTGTTCGCGTTCATAAAATAATTCTGCTTAATAAATTTTAACTCTTTTTCTCTTTCTTCCGTTTCCAACAGTTCTCTCTGCTTGTGTAAAAGTTCCAATCTTTGTTTTGCTTTTTTATTTTGCGGGTTTACTTTCAGCTTTCCTTCTTCCTTTTCGATTCCTTCAATTATTTCCTTCATTTTTTCTTTTTTTCCTTGTTTTTTCTACTCTTTTGTTGTTTAAAATTTCCTCGCATCACGGCTTTACTTGCCTCCCATAGCGTGAATAATTGTATCTCTGGACCATCATTTATCTCAAAATATTCCTTTAGTAATTTCCTATTTCTTTCTATATCTTCTTCCTTTTTTAATAGGTTTTCATCCAAACGCCATCTTCTTGTTTTCTCCATTGTTTTTATTTCCAATTCCAGCGCACAGTGATCCGAATTTATCCTGGGCAGGATTGACACCTTAGAGACATTTATTTGTAGAGATGATGTTATCCACATCATGTCTATTCTTGACCATTTGTGATGTCTTGCTGAGTAATACGTATAATCCTTCTTCTTTTCATTTCTAATTCTCCATATATCCACTAGGCATAACTCCTGCATCAGTTTCGTCATTGATTTTGGTAAATCTCCCTTTGCCTCCCCCTTCTTTTCTACTATTTTCTTTGTCCCACTTCTATCCATTTCTCTGTTTAATACACCATTAAAGTCTCCTAGCATTATCATTTGTTCAAACTCCTGATCTTCTATGTTTTTCTTCAACCTTTCTGCAAATTTTGTCTTAGAATTATTTGGCGCATATATATTACAAATGAGTATTCTTTTATTTTGTAGCCAGATAATGACCCCTAAGAATCTTCCCTCTTCATCTTTAAAGACTAATTCGGCCGTTATGTTCTTGTCTACATATGTCACTAAGCCTCTTTTTTTCTCCTGTGCTGATGCATAGAATGTCTGTCCCAGTTTTTTATTTTCTAGATGTTTGGTATGCCTGCTCATTATATGTGTTTCCTGCAACGCAATAATCTGATAATTCTTTTTCTTTAAACCATTAAATATTTTATTTCTTTTATTCGGTGAGTTCATCCCATTCACGTTATTCGAGTAGATTCTTAAATTCTTCAACATATTTCTTTTTCCTCCTCTTCTTCCTTCTCTTCTTCCCTTGTTATCAATTCTCTCTCTTCTACCTCCGCCTGTCCTTCTTCTATTTCTTCTCCCTCACTTATTTCCTCCTCTTCACTTTCTTCCTCCTCCTCCGGATCACTTATGTTTGGTATTCCAGCGCCTTCTTCTGAGAATCTCCTCATCTCCTCCTTTTCCGTTTCATCTTCCTCCAAAGAGTCTGTGCGTTTCTTCTTCTTCGTTCCTCCTTTTATGTGTTCCCCTTTCTCTCTCTCTCTGTCCACCATCAATCTATTTAGAAATTCTTTTGCTCTTTCTTCACTTTTAATCCAAAATCTTTGTTCCTTATATGTCAGCATCAGACCTTCTTCTCTTTCCCATCTGAATCGTATTCTCTGTCTCTTTAATTCTTCTGTCAGGGGCGCGTATTTCCTCCTTCTTTTCAGAACTATTCCCGGGAATTCTTTTAATATTACTACTTTCTTTCCTTTATAGTAAATTTTCCTCTTGTTGTTAAATCTCAAAACATCATCTCTCATTGTCTTTTTCACAAAATTCACTATCACGTCTCTTGGGGTCTTGTTTCTCCTTGCGTAGTTCGTATTAATTCTATATATTCTGTCCGTCCATTCCTGTATCTTTTGTCCCGTACATTCCATTAATTCTGCCAATATTTCTGTTACTTTCTCTCTTATATTCTCATTGGCGTCCTCTTGTATATTCCTTAATCGTAGTTGAAATTCCATTTCTTTTGCTTCAAGTTACTCCTGTTTAGTCTCCATCCTCACACTTTTGACTTCTAGATTCCTCATTTTCATTTGTGTTTCTTCCTGTTCTTTCTTTTTTCCTTTCTCTTCTTTCTTTAGTTCTTTCACTTCTTGTTGTATCGTTGAGACCTCCATTTTCAGTTTACCTAATTCTTCTCTTATATCCTTTTTTAGGTCTGACATCTGCTCCTGTGCGATTTTTTGATATATATCTTGTCTTTCTTTTATTGTCTGTACCTCCGTCTTCATTGTTTGAATTTCTGTCAATACCTCTGTCATCATTTCTTTCATCATCTCCTTTAAATTTAGCTCTTCTGTTACAGACATCTTCCTTGGTGTCCCTTTTGTTTCCTTTCCCTCTTTCTCTCCCTTGAACTTATTTGCTGCCATTTTCTGATTTCTTATTTTCTTCCACCCTTTTATGTCCAACCACTCTCTTATGTTATCTATCTTCTGTTTTTCAGGTGTCTTCTCACTTCTGTAATTTGCCTCTTTGATACTTCAATCTTCTCTAATCCTCTCTTTTTTTTTCTCCCCCTTCTCTTCCAGATGTTCTCTCACTTTAAGTCCCAAAACTTTATTTTATTTTATTTTATTTTATTTTTAAATATTAAGTGTATATATATATATATATATATATATATATATATATATATATATACTATATATATAATAGGATATTCCAATTATTCTAAATATTTAATTATCTTTCCACTCCCCCTTTTTCTTCTCCCGCTTTTCACTCACGTTTATTTCTTTATTTTCTTTCTTGGCTTAATTCTCTTCTTCTGGTTCTTCTAATTCTTCCTCTTCCGTTTGACTTCTTTCAGCTTTTTAAAGTCTTCTTCCTTATTTCCTTTCCCTTCTATTCCTTTTCCGATCTCCTTGTCTTTATAATGCCCTTCTTCCTGTTGTTACTTTGCCCTTCTTCCTGTTTACAGTCCTCTTCTCGCGGGATTTTTCCCTTTCGCGCTTCTCGTTGCTTCTCGCGATATTTCCCTTCTCCCTTTCCACTAAGTCTCGCTGGGCGTCTCGCGTGAGCTCCCTTCCACTCCCGCGATATCTCCCACCTTGCGTCACTTCCCGTCTTCTTGCCTTTCACTCGTCCACGTGCGTTCTCTCCGCCCTTCTCCGCTGCTAATCTCCACACTTGTGCCGCACTCACTGGACTGTAGACTAAACAATCCGGCTCAAGGTCAGTTTACTCTTCTATTGTTTCTTATCTTATCTTCTCTTCTTCTCTTCCCTTCCCTTGCAATTATTCTTACTTTAAGTAATCTTAAGTAGTATAATTTAACCTTTAAATTCTAAGTTTTCTTTTTTCTTTTTTCTTTTTCATTCAGACTTCAAACTTCCCGTCCCTTTTTCCTTCTTTCCGATCTTCTGTTCTTTCTATTCAGCCTTTTCTTTCCACTTCCCCTTATGCCGCTTTATACCTCTGTATTCTTAATTTTTTAAAACCTCCAACCCTCTCATATCGATGGCAACTTCCTCCTTCGACTCCTTCTCCGTTCCCAACCTTTTCCAATCTTTTCTTTCCTGCCTTCAGTCCTTTAAGGATCTTTATACTGCCTATTCCATCTTCCTTCTCTTTTGAGAAGTACTCAATAACCTCCTTCCGACCCCTTTCTCTTCCAGTTTTCTTCGTCTTTTCCTCCTTTACCTCCTTACCTCCTTACTCTTCTGTTAAAAATGCAGTCGGTCGGGAATTTGCAGGCTTTCGCCCACCACGATCAGGGTGACCCGCCGTACCTTGGGGACCATGTACCGGATCCTTTCAGGGACCTCCTCTTGAGGAGAAGACCCCCTTTCAGACCATCGGCTGGCCCCCCTGGTTTCGCAGTCCCCCCCACTTTGATCCACGGGGGGGAGGGAGCTATTGCTCTACCCGGTCTCCCTGTCGTGCACACACTTTTCCACGGAGTGCTCAGTGTGTGCTGCTCCCCACCATGTTCCTGCACCGGAAGTCAGAAAAGGCAGTGTAATTGATTACAGGAACACAGAACAATGGATGATGAGATTGGATTCTGATTCTATTGACGAGACACGAATGATTTGTTTAATTGTTGTTATGCTATTGTTTTTAAATGTTCCAATGGTTTTGTAATGTGTCCATTGAAATTGCTGCTGTTAACCGCTTTGAGTCCCATGCCATTTTTAATCAATCGCACATTCCTAGTAGTTACGTTCCCGTGATATGATTATAACACTGAGAAGGAAATTCTAGGATTTCTGAGTATCGTTTTTGTTCTTCTAGATTAAAGATTGAGGAACTGGAAGCTGAAAGAAGGCGGTTAGAAGAGGAGAACCGGTCTCTGGAGATGAAGCTGGAACAGATAACCTTCCAGGTAAGCGTTTGGAAATCTTAATCCATCTTGAGAAGTATGCCCTCCTAGCATGCTTACAAATATGGGCTGGAACAGTGGTGTCCTGTGTTTGTGGCCTTTCACCCCTACAAACAGGAGTGCACGAAGGTAATCTCACCAAGACCTGTTGGCTTTTTCATAATAATGTCACGGCAGACATTTTTTTAATGAAATGGAAGATATTTTCTACTCTTTACCATTAAGCTATTTTCAGCTGCTTGAGTACATGGATATTATTATGGTTGGGAGACTTTGATCTAAGCATCAGATTGTAGATTTTGCCCTGAATCTTAGTTTCACTAAGAGTAGACCTATTGAATTCACAGGTTTTGTGTTAAGTATTGAGTTACACTTTAGGAGTTAAGTCAGTGTGACTACTTTGTGTGTGTGTGTCAGGAGCTACTTGAGAAACTGCAAGTTGCTTCTGGTGTGAGAGAATTGACTCAGGGGATGCCCAAATGTTTGATGTTTTACCACCCATGTGGGAGGCTTCTCTCATGTCCCCACATGGGGAGGTGGAGCTGACAGAGGGAGCTCAACCCGCTCTCCCCAGATTCAAACTGCAGACTTGTGGGTCAGCAATCCTGCTGGCACAAGAGTTTAACCCATTGCGCCACCAAGGGCTCATGTGTCTAGTTAATTTCGTGGGATTCCAACTTTTGTTGGGACTACCAAATGAATTAAGGCCTAAAAATTAATTTTTGTGATTTTTCCTCAAATAGAGTTCTGATTCTCCTCCTAGAATCTCCCCTTGTCCTACTAGACTAGTGGTTCCCAATCTTTTTTTCACCATGGGCCACTTGACCAGGTTTTACTTTGACCAGGGACCACTTCACCAGGTACCACTTTGACCAGGGACCACTCTCCATCATTAGTACCAAAAGGGTTACGAATCAGTCTTTGGTCAAATTTATATTCAGTTTGGTTATCTGGGGCGCTGATTCAGGAAATTGCATTGGATAGACCACATCAGCTCTAGTTTCTGAAACAGAACATATGCCATCCAGTAATCACCATCTGCTCGGCCACAGAAAACCATATTGAATAATCTATTGCTGATGTGGTCTATCCAATGCAGTTTTCTGAATCAGCATACCAAATAACCCCAGGAACAGGTCTAAAAACAGAGACACCAAGGCTACTCCATTCTTGTAGCCACATGGAAGGAGGAGGGGAGCACTTCGGTACTATAAGAGGGTTTTGTGAGTCCAGTTGCTCTCGGTGCAATGGTGTAGTAATGGTAGTAATGGTGAGGCTGCGGACCATATTTTAGTTGGGTTGTTGTAGGTTTTTTTTGGGCTATATGGCTATGTTCTAGAAGCATTCTCTCCTGACGTTTTGTCTGCATCTATAGCAAGCATCCTCAGAGGTAGTGATGTTTTGCCTGCATCTATGGCAAGCATCCTCACTACCTCTGAGGATGCTTGCCATAGATGCAGGCGAAACGTCAGGAGAGAATGCCTCTAGAACATGGCGATATAGCCCAAAAAACCTACAACAACCCAGTCATTCTGGCCATGAAAGCCTTCGACAATACATACTTTAGTTCTTGCAGACCACCACAGACCACAGATTGGGAACCACTGTTCTAGACCTATGTAAGTCCCGAGAAAGGGATTTGGTTGTGATTAATCAGAGCGTTACGATGAAGCCAACTATTTGACACACATTGAGATGCTAACAATAATACAGTGGTGCTGTGGGCTGCTTTACAGGAAATACATATTGAGTGTCTGTAATTCTGAAATCGCCCAAAACCTGAAATTGCCCAAATGGGTGGCTGAGGTAGTGACACCTTTGCTCTCTGATCATTCAGTGAGCACAAACTTTGTTTCATATATGAAATCACTAAAAGTCTTATATGTAAAAATATCAGCAGGCTGTATGAGATGTATATGAACTTTGCGTTTAGACTTGGGTTTTGGTGGATTTTTTTTTTGCACAAACTTTTTTTTCCACAGAAAATTTCCAAAATGTGAAAAATCTGAGCTAAACCTTTTATAATTGTGCCTGATGGGAAGCAATTACTTTGAAAGTTATTCTTTCATGCAAGAGCAAAATAAGTGGATTTATATCCCTTCTTGTCTCCACTCAGAGGCCCGTTTCCCATACTTGTGTAGATAATTCACACAAGTCCCATGACTAGGAAGTCATCATAAACACCTGTGAGAATGAGTTACATTGGCAATAATGAGTACAACTTTTTATTGCTTCCAACCTGCTGTAATATATGTGGTAGCTCAAAGAGTGATTATATTTTCTCTGCATCCTATCTCCTTACTAGCTGTGATTCATTCTTTCTTTTTTCCTCTCTCTTTTTCTCTCTTTCACATCCCGATGTTGTTTCCAAGGCATTTGCGTGTTAAAAAGTATGTTCGCAAAGAGGAATGGTCTGATGTTGCTGTATTGATTATTATCTTTGTCTTTTTTATTTTTATTATCTCTGAATGAGAAATGGATGAATTTTTCTAAATATGGGTAGTTTTCCTCCTAATGGGTTTGAACTTGGAGTGATGACGCTTGCTTTTTTGGAACTGCCTGTACATAACTCCTGCTCTCCATTCACAAATTTCTAAATTGTATGGGTTTATGTATCATGTCTGGTGGACACAGAATTGAGCCGGTCTCAGGTTTTGAATACCTAGGAGTACTCCTCCATTGCACTAACAGCAGGAAAGCCCACACAGAGTATACAGCAGAGACAGCGCAAATGAGCTTGCCTGCCATCTTAAGAAAGCCCTGGCCATTGACCTGTGGAGTCCTGCAAGGTTCCCTTCTTTCCCCCATGCTCTTTAATATCTACATGAAACTACTTTGTGAAGTCATACAGAAGTTTGGAGTTGGGTGCCATCTCTACGCAGATGACACACAACTCTTCTACTCATTTGCACCAAATTCCAGGGAAGCTCCTCAGATACTAAACCAGTGCTTGCCAACTGTGTTGGACTGGATGAAGGCCAACAAGCTGAGGCTTAATCCAGACAAGACAGAGATCCTCCTGGTCAGTCACAAGGCTGATTGGGGTCTAGGGTGGCAACCTGTGCTCAGTGATGTCACACTCCCCCTGAGGAAACAAGTCCACAGTCTGGGGGTTCTCCTGGATTCTTCACTGATGCTTGAGACTCAGGTGTCAGTGATGGCCAGGAGGGCTTTTGCACAGTTAAAGCTTGCGCACCAGCTGCGATCATTCCTTGAGTAGCCTGATTTGGACATGGTGGTCCATGCCTTAGTTATATCCAGCATTGACTACTGTAATGCACTCTACATGGGGCTGCCTTTGAATATGATTTAGAAACTGCAGAGAGGAAGCCAGATTATTAACTGGAGTGAGCTTTAGGGAGCATACCACCCCCTTTTAAAGCAGCTCCAATGGCTCTCGATAAGATTCCAGGCCCAATTCAAAGTGCAGGTGATTACCTATAAAGCCCTATATTCTTTGGGTATAACCTATCTCCGAGACCGCATCTCCTTTTACAAACAGGCACAGGCATAAGATCTGCTGGAGACGCCCTTCTCTTGGTCCCACCACCCTCTCAAGCATGGTTAGTGGGGATGAGAGAGAGAGGGCCTTCTCGGTGGTGGCTCCCTAGTTCTGGAGTACTCTCCCTATGGAAATTAGATTAGCCCCCTCTCTTCAGGCCTTCTGGAGGAGTCTGAAAACATGGTTCTTCAGAAAGGCCTTTGATTCTAAGTAATCCATGGCCAATGTGATGAATCATTGATAGTACTGGCCCACACTTTGATTGATTGTTATGATAGATGGCTGGCTGGCAGGTTCCATTGTGTTTTAGGAATTTTATAATTTTCAATTTTTTAAAAATGTATTAATGAGATTTTTATGCGCTCTTGATTATACTTATGTCATTGTATTTATACTTATGTATTGTTGTCTGCATGTGGCACTTGGAGTGCTTCTGTGAGCTGCCCCGAGTCCCTTTGGAGGTGATGATGATGATGATACCTCAAGGTGGGAGGAGGCTACTTAATGCTGGTGGCACTTAAACTTTTTGAAGCTAAACCAATTGCACAAATGCTGTATGGAGCCCAGCTTGGCCCCTTTTCAAATTATGCCCCACCAGAGGATGTTCAATCCAAATTCCTAAGATCAGCTCTACAGGCTCCCAGATGTGTCTCTAACACCACCCTGTAATTGGAGACAGGCTTCGTGAAAGTGGAGGGGAGAGTATGGACAGCAATTCTCAACTACTGGTTACGCCTATCCTTCTCCCCATGTGGTCTTGCCACTCTAACCATGAGAGATGACTTCCAGTCCACATGGACTTAAACAGTGGCAGTAAAGATTGCAACACTAGGTTTCTCCCAAGGACAGTTATTAAGCATGAGATGGGACCAAGCCAAGGATCTCATTAAGCAACGGATCCTGGACATAGAGTGCCGATCGGACTTTCCCAGCTCCCAGCCTTTATTGTTTGTGAAGCTAATAGATATCTCACTGCCTCCATGGCATACTTAACAGACCTGGAGGTGCCCAAACACTGAAGAGTGTTTGGCTACCCTGGCACAATGCCATGACCTCCCCTCGGCTGTATTGGAGGACAGGTATCGGAAGACCCCCTTCAAGGAGAGATTGTGCCATGTGAGTCCAGAGACATAGAAACAACCTAACATGTGCACCTTCAATGCATGTTTTACAAAGACATCAGAAATGATCTCATTACACCATGGCTTCTTAAATACCCAGGGAGCACCAGAAAATGTTATGCCACCCTGCTGGTCTTGGATTCTAGCATTACAATAATTTACAGTATTGCTGGGTTCTGCATGCCAGATTCGACAGATGATGATTGACCTCACAGGGTAGCACCCTGACGGGAATGCGGCTGGAGCAACCTGTTGCAGCTGAGATGCTGCTGGGCTTGTAATGTGCCCCTCCCTCTCCCTCTAGTACCCCCCTAATGTTGTATCCCTCCTATTAGATTTTCCCCTTCCTCAGTCCTATACCTGCTATGATAACTTTGTCT